CAGTGAAGTTTAACTCATTGATTGCAGACCGGCCACCACCCCTTCATTCATTGTCTGACGTTCTCTCTTCCTTCTTGTCCCTCTCCCCTGCCTGCCTCCACCTGGCCTGATTTGTCAGTTCAGAGGCATCACATGAGAAGCAGAGATTCTCTCACTCCACAGGATGGGGATCATTGTTCTAGATAGGAGGTAAGGATTTAAGATATTTAGGACAGTAATCATGAGAGAGATGGAGAGGTGGTGTCTCTGCTGGGCCTGCACACCACCCAAGGCTAAAGGTACAGGAGGAAACAGAAAGGAAGCAGAAAAGAAGGATCAGCTCCTTGATCCCTTCCCACCCACGCTGTGTGTAAATGCAGCTGCAGGTGAATGCCGGAGGTCCTAGCAATGAGGCTGTTACTGGGCTTAAGTTAAGAATGAGCTTGAGATATCCCAGTGGATAAGGATAGTGTTAGCAGCAGACTAGGAACTGGAAACCTGGGATTTTTTTTGTTCCTGATCTTATAGGCAGTTCTGTGTGCAACTCTGGTGAAGGGGGTAGCCAAGATCTTCTTGTGAGTGACCTGTCTGGGAAGTTGCTCTTTGAGTGTGCTGTTTGTGGTGGAGGGGGTGGGGTGAGGGTGGGAAGCGTTCTTAAGTAGCTATAACTAAAAAGCAAAAAATAAAATGACATTTCTGTTTGACCAACATTTTCTTACCACTGTTTTTCTGTGTTTTTTTTATGTGCTGTTTGTGGTGGAGGGGGTGGGGTGAGGGTGGGAAGCGTTCTTAAGTAGCTATAACTGAAAAGCAAAAAATAAAATGACATTTCTGTTTGACCAACATTTTCTTACCACTGTTTTTCTGTGTTTTTTTTAAAAAAAAAAAGAAAATAGTAACATGGGCTGGACTTGCAAAGGGCTATTTCTGCAGCTGTGACCATAAGTGTACTAGGGTCTTTAGTCTCAGTATCTAAGAGGCTGGGTTTGTTGCCTGGGACAGGAAGATGGGAGGGGAGTGGCCTTCGATTCACCACAGGCTGGTTGGACCTATGCATCTGTTG